TCGCTAATGTGGGCGCCGGCCGTCCGACATGACATGGCCGGCGCTAACTTGGACGATTTGAGTAATTATTTTATATATTTTTTGAATTTTTTTTCTTTTTTCACATTTTCTTTTCTTTCCTCTCCTTTTTCCTTTTTTTTGTTTTCTTATTTTCCTCCGCCGATCATGCCAAGTCCCATCGACCATGTCAGCGCTAGCATGCCACGTAGGATGGGCAGCACTGACTGGACCACCACATCAGCGATTTCCGGCCAAAGTTCATCGAAAGGACTACGGTGACAAATCGTCAAAAGGTTTAGGACTAAATTGGTCAAATTAAAAAGTCTACGACTAAATTCATCACAACATAATAAGTTCATGACTTTTTGGATAATTTTCCCGATTAACCTTGAAGCCATCCGGGAAATATCAATAAAACCCTTCATGTGTAGTTCCAAATTCAATGCGCGAAGTAGAATTTATCCTTGCTTGTTAAGAATAGAAAGCAATGGCTACATAACTTTGCGATAGCATCTTATTAGACACGCCAGTCAACGAAACGTATCATATGGTCTAATCCAATCTTTCGACTTTCAAAAAGAAAGTATAGTTGATGTGTGCCTTTTGGTGCCCCGATTGTCAAAAAAGGTGCCCAAATTGGAGCCCCAAAGTCGACAGAATTCCATGATTTTGCCTCATGGGGGAGCAAAGATTGTGATCCGGGAAAATTCTCAATGAAATGATAGATGCGATGATGCCGGCAACGACCCGAGGGCATCGTTTTTTCTCATATAAAAAGGGCCAAAAAGAAAAGAAGAAGAAGACCACTATCAAAAGTTCGTGCGCGACACGCTTAAAGAATGTAATCGACACTCTTCCATTCTTAATTGGAGGATTGGCAGAGGTTGCAAGTCGTGTACATCACCGACATTCGAACTCGACCGGAATTGAGCATGATCCATGAACATGTTCAGAACCGGTCGATCGGATGTATCAATTGGAGGGAAGACATAACCCCATTTGCGAACATAGATGATCATTGGGCGTATCCCAATCAGGCCAAATCTTAAGGTCAGACCCGACTTGTTACGTTACCCAAGCCCGTGCAATTTAAAGATTTCGTATATTTTCCTATGCGCCTGCTCCGGCTCCGGCTCTGGCTCCGGCTTTGGCTCTAGCTCAAATGGGTGGGGGAAGGGCTTCCTTGCCAATCGAGCCCGGCCCAACATTGATTTTGGGCCCGTGGGTATCGGACCGGGTACGATAAACGGGCCCTGATGGCCCAATAAATAGGGCAACCAAACCGACACGACATGACATCCGCAGCTCAGACAGGAAAGCCCGGGGGCCCAAAACGCTACCGAAGCCCGACACGGCACACCGTTTCGGTCGGTCAACGTTGACCCGTTTCACCTCGGAACCAACAGAAAAGAGTTCGCAGTAGTTGATGTTTTACCATATTGTCCACGCTCATTTTCCTCTGCTCAAAGCAAATTCTCAACGCAATGGCTCTCCGAGCGAGCCACGCGCTTCGCCGTCCTTCTTTCTTGTCGCCGCTCGTTTCGAGCAGGCCCTCCTCCGTTCGGACCGGAAAATTCCCGGTCCGTTGCTCTGGTATCGGCTCCCGCGAGGCTCGCAAGGTTCTTGCCATTTCCCTGCTTTTCTTGTCTTGTCTTGTCTTTCTTCTCCTTCTCCTTTTTCTGTAATGTAGCTGGGGTAACGAGGAAGGGTCAAAGAAGGGCCTTCGTTCATCTGGGTATTTCATTGTCGGGGTTGGTTTGCCTCGTAAAGGCAAAAATCTTGCCTTTCTTGGTTTGGCACTGTTGATTACAATGCTGGGTTTTCTGGGTTATTTTGGTAGAAGAATTTGGTTGCTGAATCAGAGTTGACATTTCGGGCAACGTAGCTCTCAGTGTGGTCCTCATGACATGGCAATTTTGAATCTGTAGTTGGTTTTGGAAGTAAAGGAGAGGCTTGAAAAAGATTGCTGCAGTCTTCCTGTGGGTAAGAACGGAAGAGATGATGAAGACATGATCTACTGGTTCTTGAAGGACCGGAAGTTTGTCGTCGAAGATGCGGTTGCAAAGCTGACTAAAGCCATTGTATCCTCATGAATCCCGTGCTTTCCAAGTTTATGAATGCGTTGTTCACTCCTTCTGGCGACAATTAAATTTAGCAGTAGAAACCTGAACACTGGGATGACCCTGCTTTATAAGATGGACAATGTGATGCATTTTGGTTTCTCATTCTCACGTGCCACCCGTACCTTCGATTGATGTTATGCTTGTGCTTGATAAGAGGGATGACATGATACATTTTGGTTTCTTATTCTCTCATGTGGCCAGTACCTTCAACGGATGTCATGCTTACCGGAAGAAAAATGATCACATGATGGATAGATGTTCTATAAGTTATCCTTATGCTCATGTAGAAATGGCGACAAGAGTTCAAAGTGTCCGAGTTGACCGAAGAATCCGTGAAAAGCATTGCAGAAACTGGAAAGGCGTATGTGCATGACTTTTTTGATGTCAATGACCGCCCTGTGCTCGTAGTGGTGGCGTCGAAGCACTTTCCTGCTGTAAGTATATGAAATTGGCACGAACTTAGTCCCCAACCTTTGTTGTCTTTCTTTAGTAACCCAATTGCCTCCTAGTCACTGCTAGATAAGTGAAAACTGTCGAATACAGAGTATCTGTCTTCTTCTGATTCATTATTATTCCTAGTGTCTTAAATATATATGATAACTATACAAAAGAGTTTGACCTATGTCAAATTGTGTTCCTCATTTGGAAGAAATATCGGTGAAATCGTATCTTAGTAACTAAGTTGATGGCTCCAATTGCTCACATAACATTCTGACCATCCTATTCCTTTCTTGGGTATTTGAGATTGATTGTAGACATTATAATCTCATTTGGTTTATTCTTCCTTAAAATATATTGAGAGTAACCCTTTTTGGGAGGACCGCTGCTTTTGTCAATGATTGACGCTGATCTTTTTATTTGTTTATTTGCTTTTAGGAGCAAATTCTAAGGGTTGCATTTCTCATGGTGCCACAGGTTCAGGATCCTGTTGAAAATGAGAAACTGTGCGTGTTTTTGATTGAAAAGGCACTGAGTAAGCTTCCAGATGGAAAAGAAGAAATTCTTGGGATATTTGACCTTCGAGGATTTGGTACTGAGAATGCAGATCTCAAGTTCTTGACCTTTGTGGTAATTTCTGCTGTTTCGCAGTTTCAACATAAAAGAGGGAAAAAATAAATGCACCTCTAAGATCGGCAGAATGATTAGGTTGAAATTGCAATCGAGGCTAATCCAGAATTCCACATCATATCCTATAGCTCTTCGAGGTAGAACTTATTGGGTGCTTGGAAAGGTACATGTTCGCTCACTTTGGCGTATGCATCAGTTGCTTTTGCGGCAGATGCATGTTCCTGAAAGGAAGACAGTATGACATTTAATGAGCAATCATTTGCATAATAGTCTTCTGGTACAATACAGGAGCTCTTTCCATTGGTTGTATCAGTATGGTTATTGCTTCTGGCAATACTTTCTAGTAGAGGTGATGCTTTTGTGGTTCAATACTGCCAAAAACTTCAATTTGATATGATCTGAAATATCTCTGGTTGCTTCTAACTGTTGTTGGAATCAAGTAGTGTGACGCTTAAGTACTCTTAGAAGATGGGGAAAAGTTAGCATTTGTCATATACTTCTGCCCATTTGAAGATGTAAGGTGGTAGCACAGTTTTTTGAGGAATTGTTAATAACATCTTGAGGAATCTGTTTGGCCCATTGAGCTGATTTATTGATGTTTTGTGCAGTTTCACGTGTTTTACTATTACTATCCCAAGCGGTTAGGACAAGTGCTTTTTGTGGATGCCCCATTTGTCTTCAAGCCGATATGGCAACTAGCAAAGCCGCTGTTGAAATCATATGCTTCTCTGGTATGTACAATCTATTTATGTTTTTCCTTTTAAGCACAGGCTGCTTTTGCTAGTAATACTTTCAGATTATACTATGGTGAATCAAATGAAGCAAAGGAATGCCTTTTGTCGGAACATGTTCGATTAGATGCACTTCTTTTCTTTACCAACTGAATTTAGGTTTCTCTGCACAGTAATATACCTATGCTATGAGATAGGAAACTTGACGGTGATGTTAGTTTGACCATTTTCTTATTGTGTTTATAAATCTTCCGAGGAAAGGCCGAGCAATAAGCATGATTTGGTCATCTAAGACCATTACTCATTGCGAACTTCATGATTATTCCTACTGAACACATAATTATTTTTCCTACTGAAAACATAATTATCTTTCAAAAGGTGAGATTTTGCTCTGTGGAGACGGTCAGTATTGAATATTTCACGGAAGAAACAGTGCCAGCTAACTTCAGGGAGTGAGGCGTCATTGATCATCGTGCATCTCCCTCCGGTATGAAAGTTATACTTTGATAGATATTGTACAAAAAAGGGCTGGTAAAATATGAGCAATTTTGTCATGGTTGGACTGTCATTCTTTTACTTGCAGCAGTGAAATAAATTGTCTTGCTTTATGTTTTCTAGCTCTCTGGCCGGCAGTTGTAGACGGACAATCTCTTTCTTTCATGCCTGATAAGCCATCGAAGATTTTCAAGTTCCTGACTTCTACACTGACTATTGTTTCCTGCGGCATGCTCGTCGGCCACCAAGCAAACAAGATCCTGAAGAGAAGCGCATAAAGAATGCGACCAGACCTCTCAAAATTTTTTGCTTTCTCTGTTTTCCTACTTAGCGCCTCCGACTGAAGTGAGGCCATTGATTGTATCGGGTCAAAAGGGTTTGTATCCGGAATAATGTTGAGGCATGGCAATGTGAATTGTTGCTTCTTGGATGTAATGAAAGATGTTGCTTTATCTGTGATGAAGAATGGAAGGTTCTGTTAAGTCTGTCCTGTATCGGACCATAAAAAGCGAATTTTCAGCACTTCGATGATTTTCATAGGGCATATCGGCCTCGGGTACAAGAAAATTTTCAGCACTCTGCGGCTCAAATCTTGCATTCAAGAGATTTTGTTGAGGAAGAGCCAGCAAATGCAGCAACTTGATCTGAACAGGGTGACATTCTTGCATATGAATGGAACTCAGATGACATCATAATTTCTAGTCTTTCCTAAGAAAGAGAGTGACAAGTTAAAGAAACCAGCGGACGAGCTTACCCCTCTACTAGAACCTCTGAAAGGAGAACAATTTGGGGGTAGAACGGTAAAATCGGACCGATGCCCTCTTTCTTTTCCATCCGGCAAACCAGCTTCTTCTCCAGCTTCGGAAGCTCAGCAAAAAAAAAATGAAGATCTCCCCGAGGTCAGCGGTGGCGCCGTGCGTCGTCCTCCTCCTGCTCGGCGTCTCGTTCCTGTGCAACGCGGCGGAGTCGCCGCCGTACACGGTGGTCCATCGAGAATCGGACTTCGAGGTCAGGCGCTACCGGGAGTCCACGTGGATGTCCGCCCCCGTCCGCGACATCTCCTTCCAGAAGGCCACCCTCAATGGCTTCCACAGGTTTCCCTCTTCTTGATCAATTCGTCCGGGTTCCCCCCGGCGCTGCGTAGCGACCCCTCGAATGATTCGTCCATGTTGTGTTCGTGCTATTGTTGTTGAACCTGCGGCTTTGTTCAATCTTTCACCGAGGACCCAGTTGGCCTAATCTTGTTTTGTCCCTGAATCTTGATTTTGGAGACCATCTTCTTGTTCGAGTCTAGTTGCGAATTCTCGTAGATTGTTGTCGGGACTTGATTGCGTTGACCTGGGTTTTGTCCACCCCAATCCTTGGTTATGTTATGGTACTTGTGTTTTCTCTGATGCTTGTCGGTTGCAAGTTGGAATCCGGGTGATGAGCTGAGGCGTTCCTGTTCTCTGATTCATAGGTTGTTCCAGTTCATTCAAGGCGCCAACCTGAACTTCTCCAGGATTCCGATGACCTTTCCGTTCGTGACGAGCATAGTCCCTGAAGCCGGACCGCTCCACTCGTCGGCCTACTCCGTCCTGTTGTACTTGCCGCCGAAGTTCCAGGCTGACCCCCCGACCCCTCTTCCCGAGCTCGACCTGAAGCCGCAGGCGTGGGAGAGCCGCTGCGTCGCAGTCAGAAAGTTCTCCGGGTTCGCGAAGGACGATAACATCGTCCAGGAAGCGGAGAAGCTCGCGTCCAGCTTGAGCAGGTCGCCATGGGCTAACATGACCTCTTCCGAGAGTAGCTATGCCTATTCGATCGCTCAGTATAATTCTCCTTTCCGAGTGATTGGTCGTGTTAATGAAGTCTGGGTCGATGTCGATGCGCCTGGATCAAATGGTTGTGAGTTCAGTGGAGTTGCTACATATTGATGCATGGGGATTGACTTGTTTAGACAAGTATAGATTCCTGGTCCTGCTACTAAGGTCAAGAACTTAATGTCTGGGTCTCTGTGTGACCCCTACATGTAAATATGATCGAGGGTCTCTGCAACATCTCTTTGTATATCTTGGATCTTGTGTAAAAACTCTTACATGTGAATTATATCATCCAGTTTCACATGACTGTTGTCTCCTCCATATTCAACTGATGAGTTCATGAATTTGTCAAGTTCCTGTCTGAGAAATGCGTGAACAGGGTAGAATCTTCCCGCTGATCGATGATAGACAGGCCGAAGTGCGATCGACGATGAAAAGTTAAAGCAGTTCGTGATGCTCTTGTTGACCGATGAAGTATGAGAGTTTTAGCTCTTGGGTGGAAATGGCTATTAATACTCACTGGAAAGGCAGCGAGACAATTTGCAAGTTGTTACGCTGAGAGATGTAATAAATATGACAATGCAATGAAGGCATTGCTCCCCTCTCGCTCTTTTCATGGTTATTTCGAATCTGGCACATAGTGGAAAAACCATGCCCTGTAAAGTCTGCACTCCTGTTGATTTTCAACTATTCCACTCAGCCGATGCCAAAAATATTTGATACATTACTATAAAGGACAAGGGAACTTGCAATAGAAGGACGTAAATTCTGTACTACAATGGAATGAATCTTTTATAAATTCGTAAGCTAGATTGAAGGTACAAAATTCAATGGAGTATCTAGTATCTACAAAGACCAATGCAAACACGGTCAAAATAATTGGCTTCTTTGGCGTCTAGGATTACATAATGGCAGTGAAACCCCAGCAGCACCCTTCTTTTGGGGCATAGGCAGCTTGATCTGACGACGGTAAACCAAAGCTCCCAAGCATATAAGCAGAACAAAGAGGAAAACAGGGGATGGGATGGAGCCCACTGTTCTAATCCTAAAAGATAACAGTGCCGTCTCGGCTTTGAAGGGATGCAACTGTATGAATTTTCCCTCAACCAAAGAAGCTCCCAACGGCCAAGATATATCCCCTGGACCAATTATAATATCTCTGTCGCTGACGTGGAGCGCCTCGTCAATGAGCGACGCCACATAAGGTACTTGAAAGCAAAATTGTCCTCCATAGTTTCCATGTTCAGTGATGTGGCTTGAATTGATCCATGATTCTGAACACAGTCGATGACCTTTCTCCAACAACTGCGTGAAATTAGCTCTACCACTGAATCTTAACTTACTGTAAACAGCAAAAAATCCCGATAAAGCATGAAAAGCCATGTCAGGCAGGGCAACCCCTGTGATGTTTTGCCAGTCACCACCTGCAAGGACGGAAGGAGCATGAATTTCACCACTAAATCTTAACTATTTCAGTAAAGGATACAGCATGTGGAAATCAAAGCTCAACAAGGATGAACTGGGATGTGTTTGGCTAGAAGAGAAGAACTTGATATGGAAGTGATAGTGGGATGTTGCCGACTCACCTTTGTGGTATAAGACGTCCTCTTTCCTGTTTTTACCAACTGCTACAGAAAAGTGCTTCGAGTAACTTGAATTGGCAGCAGCAGCCCTCGCAAGTATTCTGCACTCTTCCCAATTCGGATCTCCAATGACATTCATAATACTAAATTCTGCCTTTTGCTTTGTACTGCCCAAAAATATTTCGTCAGTGGTATTCATTGCGCGGCAATTATAGCAGGTATAATTCTGCTTATAGTTTGGATTCAGACAAGGGTGGCTAAGGATATAGTTGCCATCACTCTGTCTTAGTGTTTCATTTTGTGTTAGCATGACAAGGGTCCGGTCAAATGCCTCTCGCAAACCAAATGCCGGAAACGAGTAGGATAATACCCGACGTTCGATAGAACCGACCTTCAGTCTTACCAACTGTTCATGGTTCACTGTATCATGTACTTCCATTGCTACCTGCAACGAGGAACCTCCCAAGTCGAGAAGCCCCAACGTGGGCAACCTAGATTGATTTCCAAGTCTCCCCATTTTGTAATTCAGAGCTACCCAACCATAGTACGCCTCCTCTTTTCCATGCAGTACCCTTATCCAGCTTCTCTTATAAACAAACGCATGTTCCTTGACAACAGCTTCGACATCGTCCAAGACCCTCGTTGCATTCTTAACTGCCAACCTCCTGAGTCCAGCAGTTGCAAGAACAAAAATAGGAGTCTCCGGATGTCTTTCTTCAGGCACCCACTGGTCTGCCCAGTTTATCAACGGTTCCAGAGCAGCCCTCACTCCGCTAGCATTGCCGATGAATCTATCTAAACCGGGCTCAGTTTGCAGACAATGATACTGACAAGAGCTGTTGGAAGTCTGGTTCTTGATCAAATTATCAGGGTAAGAATTCACCAGAATTGGCAGCTCCCATTCATTAGCAGCTCGCAGCATCCACTCATACACATTCACCCGAGTGCCGGTGCTTCCACAGTCCACAACAACCGTAAAGTAGGACCGTCCGGGATCACGAGACTCAACACGTTTCCAGCCCAAAAGCAAACCACTCAATAACAACAACCCAGCAAGAACAATCACGACACCAATCTTCAGTGCCACCCTATAATGCGCAAATCTGGCATTAGAGGCTTTGGCCTTAGAAGGCGACTTCGGATCCATCCACCGCCCACCGGAGCGAACCGACCCCGGATCATAACAAGTTAAACAACCACCCCTTTCGCTCAGACAAATCGCAATTCGAGCTCAAATACACATGATGCGAAAAGGGCAGCCTGAATTCAACACGACAACATCGATGAACTCGACCGCAGCAGGTCTAGATGTACTGAATCGACGGCGAGACAAATTCGACCGTACCCAGAAGGTGAACCGGATTTAGCAGCAAAGAAACTAGCGGGCAACCTCAGATCACGCGACGAACGAGATGATCGGAGAATGAACGGGACGACGGTTTACCTGCGCGAGCTCCCGAAGCGGGTGATTTCGTTCCCTCCTCCTCCTTCCTCCTCCTCCTCTCCGGCGAGAGATCGGAGGGAATGCGGTGGAAGAAAACGGAACGGTCCGGTCGTTGAAAAGGATTTTATATCTCAATTTCTCAATCAATTACAAAATAGAATTTGGGTTAATACCACGAAAAACCCTAAACTGGTACAGTTATGATAATTTTATCCCAAATTATTTTTTTATCACAAAAATCTCAAATTAAGACACTTGTGACAAATTTACTCAACTATTTTTTGACCACAAAAACCCAACCAGTATCTTTGTGACAATTTTACCCTAACTAATAATTTTTTAATATTTTTTTATTTTTTCTAATTTTTTTATTAATTTTTTTTTTTTTTTTCTTTTCTTTTTTTCCTTAATATTCTTCATCTTCAACCTCTGGCCGGTCGCCGGACCGGCGACCGGCCAGAGGCGGAAGCCGGCGAGGCTCGACCTCGTCGGCGCTGGGCGAGGCTCGAGCCCCGCCGGCCGCTGACGAGGTCGGCCTCGCCCAGCGCCAGCGAGGTCGAGCCTCGCCAGCAGCCGGTGGGGATCTAGCGAGGGCTCGGTCCCGCCGGCCGCTGGGCGAGGTCGAGCCTCGCCAGATCTGGCGAGGGCTGGCCCCATCGGCGAGCACTCGCCAGGGGCCAGCGTGACTGACCTCGACGGCTTCCGCCTTTGGCCGGTCGCGCGGACCAGAGGTTGAAGATGATGAATATTAAGGAAAAAAAGAAAAAAAAAATTCAAAAAATAAAAAATAACATTAAAAAATTAGTTGGGGTAAAATTGCCACAAGTATACCAGTTTGGGATTTTTTGTGGTCAAAAAAATAGTTCGGGGTAAATTTGTCACAAGTGTACCAGTTTGGGGTTTTTCGTGATATTAACCTATAGAATTTTAAATCACTCAACTCATCATATTAATTAAAAAAATTTACGCTTTCGAAGTAAAAATTAATCCAATTTTTCAAAAGTTAAAATGAAATAAAAAAGTAAAATTCACACAAATTACTAAATATGGCTCGTATCATGTCGAGTGAACTGGTCTTCACGAAATGTAAATAGCATCTGGTGCAAAATACTTACAAAAGGACTTTAGATAAGAAAAAAAATACAAAAACGTGACAAGTGACCTTAGCTCGACCAGTGGCTAAGGTCACACGGTCCATAGAAAGGGCCACCATGCAAGGTGATGTCGAAGTCGTGCAATCTAAGGCGATGGGCTCCCAAGGTCGCACGACCTCAACCAATCGCCGCCATGTAAATTTTCGGCTACCCACCAAATCTCACCTGAGATAGGATTTGGCCCTCCAAATAATATTTCAAATTTTGATAGAAATATTAAAAAAAATACTATTTGTTTTTGCTTAAATGTAAGCAAACGCACAAATACAATTAGAATAATGAATATCACGATTTTAAGTCTTAATAATCGACTTGTGAACATTACCTCGTGGTAATCATGCCATTATGTTTGATTATTATTGGATGCTTTGGAAAGACATCTGCACATAAAACATTACTAAGTACATAGATCGAAGTAATTGGTGACCCAATAAAGTCCATATGCATTAAACCTCAAAAAAAATGATTGATTTGATAATTGAAATTCGCATCAAATTACATATTAAAGATGACGATAGATGATTTAATTGTTACTAATATTAACGCACAACGAATAGAGTCGTGTGTTTTAATATACCATAATATATAATGTTGGAGAACATGCATCCGAACATCGAAATTTATATATAAAGTAAAGGTTTAATATCACGAAAAATCAAATGATGTTATAAATTTACTCAAAATTAAATGTTTTGACAACCAAAAATCCCAAACTTGTATACATGTGATAAATTTATTACAAATTAATTTTTTGACTATTAAAAACCCCAAACTGGTACACTCCAAACTAATACATTTGTGATAAATTTACCGTCTGTCAATTTTTATTAAATTGGATTAATACCATGAAAAATCATAAAATGGTACACCTGTAACAAACGGAGGGTAAAATCCTAAACCGGTACACCCGTCAACTGCCGTGTGTCATTTAATTCAACAATTTGACAGTAAAAATTAATAAAAATTAACATAGGGTAAATTTGTCACAAGTGTACCGGTTGAGGTTTTTTGTGATCAAAAAATTAGTTTGGGATAAATTTATCACATGTGTACTACTTTGAGATTTTTCGTGGTATTAACTCTAAAATAAATAGGAGCTCATACTTTTCAATGATCCCAATCCACTTTCTCTTTTCTAAAATTTTCTAAATCGGTTATTTTATATATAATTTATAATATATGTAGACATATACATAAATTAATAATTCTATTTGATCTTTTACATTTTCAATTTAAATCTTTCATATTTTAAAAACAATGTTACTATAAAAAGTTCAAATAACAAAATACTATTCTCTTTCTAAATATACACACACACATTTTCTACATGTCGTGTTAATAATTCAAATAATGTGTAATAATAAAAATTTTTAAAATCTTTTAAATGTCGAGTTTTTTTGGCGCATACCCGACGCATGTGCACTTTTGCTAGATAATTAAAAGCGAACCCGTCCCCGAACACATTCGATGTTCTCGAGATCATGCTCTCGTGGCGAAACCTTGTCCCGTCAATAATGACCCCTGGTTACCCCAAACGGGAGATCCCGAAACAACGGGAAGCCGAACCCATAAAATCAAATAACCATTCAGACAATTTCGGAACATACATCCTTCGTAAGGAATCCTCGCTGCAAAATGGAAGGACGCATCGAATCTCATCAAATGGGCAACCCATATCCGAAAAAATAAATTATTTTCCCATTAAGATAACCGCGTCCTAATCATCGCCTCTCGATGATCAACGGCAGAGATGAACCCGTCGGCTCGATCGGGCCGTCCGATCTACCCTAATTTAATATATGTATATATAGGAGGAGGGAAAAAGAAAAGAGAAGAAAACCTTAAAAAAGCTCTCGTGTTTTTAGGGTGATAAAGATCAGAGGAAAAATCGACCATTTTCGGGCTTTTTTCTTCGTTTTCACCTTGCTTCCTTCCTCCTCCTCCTCCTCCTCCTTCACCTCTCTTCCTTCCTTTCCTTCCTCTCTCGCCTTTTCTCCTCTGGTTCACGTCCGATCCGAGGAGGCCGTCGCTTTCTCTCTCTACATCTCTCTCTCTCTCTCTCTCTCTCTCTCTACACCTGTGAATACCGAATCCTCCGCCTCCTCCTCCTCCTCCTCCTCCCGGCGATCTCCGCGCTCAATCGCTCCGGCGCCCCCCCCGCGCGCGCGGCGGTGTCTCTCTTCCTTCCGCGCCCGAGGAGGCGCTACCCGGCGATCCTCGCGCCGTCTAGGGTTTTCGGCGATTCCGCATCGGGGGACGCGCCGTCGAGGCAAGTGATTTTCCCCTCGCTCCGTGGGGGTGGGGGGGCCGTTTCCGGCGTCGTCTCGCGGCGCGTGGTTTTCGCGAGCTGTTGGCCGCGGGCGATGCCACTGCCAATGGCGATCAGCTGATGATTTTGGTCCTCTTTTTTTTTTGCTTTATAAGGTTTAGGTTTCGGAGCTACTGTGATTAGTGGTGAGTATTTAGTTTCCAGGCTCGCGCGAGAGGTACTGGACCGGGCGTTCTAGATTGGCCGGGCCGGTTTCGCGGAATAGGAGTTTCGGACATGCGAGAGGGACTTCTGGATTTTTATGGATAGATTGTGTAGGCGATCGAGACGTTGGAGGTTTCTTGGGAGCCGCTCGCCGCTATGAAATATTGAGCCTTTATGTGTGGGGGTGTTCTTGCCACCAGAAGTTCTATGGTAGTTTCCTAAAATAGCTGAGAGGGTTGATTGTGGCAGAGTAGATGGTGGTTCATGGCTGCATCTTGACTACTGTTATTTTTTGGCCCGTGAGTAGTGTTGAATATTGAAGCTTTTTCACAAAAGAATTGAAACCTCGCTTAGTGTGCATAAAGACGGTCGGGGTTTTTGGACCGGTTAAATTCTTTAATATATGTGGGCAAGAAATGCTCCTTACGGTAGAATGAAATTTGAGAATGTCTTCTCAAGACATGGCTGCTTAGTTATTGTATTGTCTTTAACGAATTTATAGAATGATCTTGCGACAAACCACCTTAGTTTATATTTTGGGATGAATAGTAGCAACTCTATGATTACGGTAATGTCTTTAGGGCGATTTTAAGTTGTTTATCCTACGAAGAACATGTTTACCCAGTTATGAACTCACAAAGTTGTTTTTTGAGGTTGGTAAATGTCCATTAACTTTTATTCTGTAGTGTCCATCAACTTTTGAGCACTCATTTGTTGCCATGTCATTTGACATCAGAAAGCTGGTGTCTGTATTGTATTTATTGCAGTAACAATAATTCGAGGGACCCGTTTTAGCATTTTGAAACTGTGACTGCATATACTTATCTTGGTGAACTTCTTGATGTCATATTTTCTAATTCATTTGCATAAAATTGTTTCAAATAAAGTTTTTGCAATCTGGAAATGAGAAATGCTAGACTTACTATAACTAGCTTACACAATTAATTTACTAACTGACATGTCAGTTGATATTGATTGTGCCCACTTGTTTAGTACTCACAGTTTGACGTACTACCTAGTAAACTGATCTTCTATACCAATCTTAGTAAGTCTAGCATTGCTCTTTGGAAATACTTTCATATGGATGTTGTTTTAATGTCCATTTTCCCCTTCATTCTTTTTCTTGTCTTTTGTTTTTGGTCTGTTGAGGTTGATGACCTGATGAGAATAATGTTCTTTTGCTTGTATTCAGGTTTTGTCCAATTTGTTTGGATGACCTTGGAGCAACTTTTAAAGCATGGCATCAGGGACAGCCGGAGATCGAAAGTATGATATTTTCAACCCCATTACCTCCTGGAGGTCTTTCGAATTTATGATAATTAGTTGAGATAGATAAGAACTTCAATAAGCAATTTTAAGCTTATCAAATTGCCAGTCCACTTGAATCTCGTCAGCCTTTGGTATATTTAATGGCATATTAAGTAAATTCCAAGTTTCATGACTATAGTTTTTGAAGTTGAAGGGCCCTTGGAAAACTTCTGAATATCTGCCAATCGTCATCCTTTTCCTTTGTTGATGTGTGTAGGATTCTTTCCTTTGTAGACAACACATCCATCACAGCTTCTTATGTACATGACATGTATCTTCCATCATAAAAAACCAGAGTGTCAATCAAATGAGGCTAACAGATATCATTCCACATGGGAGTACGGGTTCCCGGGTGTTTTTTCTCCCTTTTTTAGCAAACTTTGACTGTAAAATTTGTATATATGTCTTATGACATTTTATCTCATTGAGGCTGCTTTCTTTTTCTGGACATGGTGGTGCCAAGATTAATTGTACTTGCAAGGTTGGAGTAAAATATTAAGAGAAAAAGTTGATGTGGCATTTTTGGTTAGCATAACTGATTTTGATTTTTAATTGCTGGAAAGATGTTTTATGGTAAGTATTAGAGCACAAGAAGTTGATTAATAGTATCATCGATTGGGAATACATGACCCGTGAGATAACCTGCTTATCATCTGATTTTACGTGAGTTTAAGCTTTGTTCCTCTTTCACTGTCAGGTGCTTATGAATAATCACTGAGAATATCATCCAATATTTGGTTCTTTTTGATCTTCGAAGGGATTTCACCATGGTTTTACTTCAATTTGGTCATGTTTTAGTACCTGATGAAGGAAAGTCCCTTGTTAGTTTTGTGGCTACCTAGGTGATGTAGGGAAGAAAACCGTAACAAGGTGTTCAACACCAAGAACAGAATTGAAGAAGCAAATAGGAACAATTCACAATGAATCGCCAAATCTAAAAGATTGTCTTCTGTACATCAAAGCCAGGGAAAAGAAGGGACAATTTTGTGAAAGAAACTTTATTCAATAAGAAAGTACTCTAATCTGAAAACGACTTTAATGAGTAATAAAATGGCATAAGACCCATTATTCATAGGACTCCTACCCAAAGAAGTAAACCTAATACTACTAGGACTCTTAAAACATAAGCAAAGACCTTAAAATCAAAATTAAATCTTAGCAAGAGTAGACGTGAATATTAATTGGAGAAAATAAATTAACAAATATTCTCCTATGCTTCTGCATCACTAGGTCAACATCATTTGGAATTATGAATTCACAAGGAAGTATATAGGTTGGCTAAATGGTTATATTGCTCCAGGTGGGGTGCTGCAAGAAGAGGCAGCATGACTGTATTGGGGAAAGTCGCCGTTCCCAAACCCATAAACCTGCCGAGCCAGAGGTATGGGATTTCATCCGCGCGTTTTATCCAAATCTGCTTGACACTTTCTTTGCCGCTGAACCTTTTCATTTCTTTCTTATTAAAGGCTTGAAAATCATGGTTTGGACCCAAATGTGGAAATTGTTCCAAAGTAAGTATACGTTTCTGACATTGGGGTTTTTAATATGTGTGCATTGTGCTTTATCCTTGGTACTTTCAAACAGCAGAGGGTTCTCAGCATTGATTTAAAGATTTCTCTCTCTATCACTCTCTATTTTGCCACTGTATATTTCAGGGGTACCCTTAGTTGGGGCAGCAGGTCCTCTGCCTCTACGCCCAATGCATGGGGTTCATCTATGCTCTCCCCCAGTGCTGACAGTAGTACTAATTCACCGAGCCACCACAGTGCTCGGCCTTCATCGGGTGAAAGTGGCACCCGACCATCGACTGCGGGAAGTGACAGGGCTCTTGATTCTACTAATGCATGGGGATCAAATTCTCGGCCATCTTCAGCTTCTGGAGCATTGTCATCCAGTCAGACATCACTAGCATCTTTACGTCCTCGCAGTGCAGAAACAAGGCCTGGTAGCTCACAGTTATCTCGTTTTGCGGAATCTGTGCTTGATAATTCAGTGGCTGGGGGTATTGAAAGACTGGTAAGAGCTTGTTGCCATAATGTGTAATGATAGGAGCTATTATGCATGGAGTCGAAATTATGGGGAGAGAAGCTCAATCTTTTGCACGAATCAGATATACAAACAGAAAGATATATTTCCTTTTATCATGTGAAGAATTTGTGCTTTGAGAGAAGTCTATTGATGAATGAAAAGGAGGGCATTCATATCTACGTAATAATTGTATATTTATATTTTAAGTGGGAAGTGAAAGAACTTCAGAAAAAAGAATGTTTAGTTGTTCCATCAAATATTCTGCCTTTCCCATGTCACCTTAGTTTTTGTTCTCTCTCACTTCTGTGAGAAGAGAGGGGGGGGGGGGGGGTGGTTGAGCGAGGTTTTGAACTGGCAGTTCTCTTTGATTCAGTGACAGAAGTATTTCTACATAGCTATGACATGAATAGTTGATCCTTCCATGATAATGTTAAGCAAGACTATGGCTGTTTGTCGAAGTTATGTTACCAATATTTCGCCTCTCATTGTTTTCAGCGCAAGCTAATGTCTAAGAGAATGTGTAGATTGGTTTTCAGGCAGGATCTGATGATATATGTAGTGATTGAGGCTTGTGCAACCTTTTCCAATCATCGTAAACAGTCTGACTTTTAAAGTTTGCTTTTAGCTAGCTGATAGCTAGTATCTAATCTTTTGCTTGTCCCAAACTGTTTTCTTTCCACGTGTGTGCAAAAGCACAGGCTAATCCAGCTCATTTGCTGTTATATGTGTAGGGACCGACATCTTCCAAGAACGACAGGTTTTCTTTAAGTTCTGGGGACTTCCCAGTTCTTGGTTCGGAGAAAAATGGTTGTGGGAGAAGTGCGGGCTCACAAGGTGAATTGTCCTGATATTTTTATATATTATTGAGTCCTAAATAGATTGGCAACATGGCTGCCATAACAGCGGTGTGGGATGATTATGTGGTTAATTTGATTGAATACATTTTTGTCTTTTTTTTGTCCACTATTTGTTGCTATTCCTTGCATGTTCTAATGATAACTTATTTGTCTTTCTGAAGCGAATGAGTACCCATCATTTTTTGTCTATCTACTAGTATGAAGAATGTGTAGAACTTGTGTTTCACATCAACCGTGTTGTCAGCTTCTTCTAATGAATCACTTTAATTGAAAAAAAAAGGTTTTCTTGCTTGATTCCATAGAGTTTCTGATTATATTAAGGACCTGTGGATACTATGTGTCATGAATTATAGGCATTTCATTTGATTGATGACCTGACTACCTTTTTGCAGAGCATGCTCCTCAAGGTTCAGAGTTATCTTCCGATACAGTGGTATCGGTGAAAGAAGGTACCTTTTCTTCATGCAGTGGTTACTTATGTTCTGAGATCTTAGATGTTGTTCATAGTTAATTGACGGACAAATCTGCCTATTTTTCCCGTGTTGCAGGTGATAGCTCTGTCAATGCTGATCCCAGGAATAGAGTTGAGAACTCATGGAGAAGAGACAATGCTCCCTGTGGTGAAGATGGTGGACCTGGTGCGGACAAGTGGCGTGGGGATCATCCTCCTCACCAAAATGCTGGCATCCTCCCTCAGCAGTTTAGTGCTTGGCATGGTCCTCTAGTTAACAATCCTCCAGGTGGTGTTTGGTTTAGAGGGCCTCCTGGGGGCCCCCCTTATGGAGCTCCTGTTGCACCTGGTGGCTTTCCTGTGGAACCATTTTCTTACTACCGTCCTCAAATTCCACCTCCTGCTCTTCCCACTCTGCAGCCTCCAGGTGCTGGACCTAGGGGACACCACTCAACTAGTGGAGATATGTATAGACCTCAAATGCCCGATGGTTTTATTCGCCCAGGTATGCCTCTTAGGCCTGGGTTTTACTCTGGTCCTATGCCCTACGATGGTTATTTTGGTCCTCCAATGAACTATCACAATTCAAATGAACGAGATATAGCATATACCGGGATGGCTGCTGGCCCTCCCCGGTATCCTGGCCAAAATGCTCCTGAAATTCCACATAGATCTGGTGGCTATGGTTCCACTAATAAAGCATCAGATGGTGAGGAAGTGGATATGGGTCATCCTCATAATACGAGGGGGCAGTACAAAGTTCTCTTGAAGCAACAAGAGAGTTGGGATGGTAAGGATGAAGGACATAAACGGGAGGGAAGTGTTACAAAGGACGAGTCATCTCTGGACAAGGGCGAACCTGGCAAGAAAGCATTGTCGAAAAACCACTGGAGATCGGATCGCAACAATGAAGAGAAAGATCTAGAAAATGCAGGACCAGTTGAGGAGGCTTCTCAGAAGATTGATTATAAAGGGGGTGGTCCTGGTCCGACCAGGGTAAAGGCACTTGAAAATGTGCAAAGGGCTGATGATGCTGATTCAGCGAGAGGACCATATAAGAACTCTGTTGTCCCAGAAGCTCCAAAATCTTCTGTCGCTGCCCCCAAGGATTCAAGTTTGATCCAGAAAATTGAGGGATTAAATGCTAAAGCTCGGGTTTCTGATGATCGCCATGAGTATACATTTGTTTCCAATAGGTCAGAGGAAGATAATAACTTTCAAGGACCGGACACCATGTCTAGGCATTCTGCAAAAGAAATTGGCTCTGATGCTCTTCATGTTGAAAGAATTCATGTTGGTAAGGTGACCAAACCTAACCTGTCTGAAATGGATGCTCCTAGTGGGGGTAAGAGCCTTGAGCAAGCTGATGTCAGTGAGTCAACCATTTCTAGGTTTGCTACTATTCTCTCGGACTTCAATTAATGCTAGTTCAGATTTTTCACCCCCTTGGCTTGGGTTGTTTAGAATGTTGATAAGCTATTTTGCAATTTCGCAGGCGGTATCTTCATGGAGTGCAAGGAAAATCTCATCATCGTGGTAAAGGAAGATCAAGCACTCAAGATGTCGACGAGCGGGGGAAGAGATCTAAGGAGCCTGACCAATTAGTCGTTGTACCAGATGCATCTCTAGAGATTTCTAACATTCATGCGCCCCATCGTATGTCTGGGAAAGCTAATGATATCTGCACACCACTATACCGAGGAAAGGATGAGGGAGCAACTGTGTCCATTGCTTACGATCCCAGTGAGAGTGAGGCAGAGGTAACATATTTTTTTTCTGAAAAGTTTGCTTTCTACTCCACCCGAATTTCTATGACATACAATTTGAATGTTTTCTCAGCGTGCTAAGATGAAAGAGTTGGCAAAGCAACGGGTGAAACAGCGGCAGGTTGAGGAGGAGGAACGAGCTAGAGATCAGAAGGCAAAGGCAGACATGAAATTGGAAGAACTGAACAGACGTGCACAAGCTGTGGATGGTTCAATTGGAAAAGGTGAAAATGTGTCAACCGGTGCTACTTTGAAAAAGCAACATAACTTGCAGCCCATTGTTGAAATGACAAAAGCTTCTGCTAGGTCTGTAGTGCTAAGCTCTCAGTCTGTTTCTAGTGCCATCACAGTTTCTGAAGTTAGCGATGGTATTGGAAGATCCACTGTTCGGTCCAATCTTTCGCAAGAACCACCTGATGGTGCTTGTAAGGAACATGCATTGGTCGGCAACCAGTCTCGGCCTTTGAAGCAGGACACTAAAACTGGTGGTGCTTCTGACCCTATTGAAGATGGTCGTATGATTAAGCAGACGCGTGTGGGATCCAAACATAAATCACACATTTCATTAGAGAAAAACTTCAATGAGAAGGGCACTCTTGAGCCGTCCAAAGTCCTTGCTGATGGGGCAGATAGTGTCACAAAATCTGCTGATGTTCCCTATGAGAGCACTCCAAGCTGTGAGGATAGGATTCCTGTCAATCCACATGGTATGGTTGAGTCTATGGTTCAGCAAAGAAGAAAAGGCAACAAGATTAGTAGGAACAAGCATAAGGTGGATGAGTCATCCTCTTTATCTGCTTTACCTGTACTTGCATCTAAAGAGATTATTGCGGCCAACACTATAGAAGAAAGCAGTCAGCTAAAGTCTCCTGAGTCCAATTTGGATTCTACGCAGGTCATGTCACCACCTGATTCTGGAGATGCCAAACATCCTTCAGAGCGGTATCCAGCTACCGCTGGTGAAGAAGTCCATACTAGAGTAAATTATCAGCGGAAGTCACAGCATTCTCGCAGGATGCCAAAAAATCAACATGCCAATAAGCTCCACGGTAGTGAATCTGTTGTATGGGCGCCTGTTCGATCACAGAACAAAGCTGAGGTTTCTGATGAAGCTAGTGACAGGGCACTAGTTGAGGGCATTAATTCAACTGTCAAGATCGACAATCCCGTCCAGAATAATCCAAAAAATAAGAGGGCAGAGATTGAGAGGTATGTCCCAAAGCCTGCTGCCAAAGAAATGGCTCAGCAAGGAAGTGTTCATCAACATACGGTTGCTTTAAGCAGTATAAATTCCGGAGATGTTAGTGTTGAGGCGGGAGGAGGTTCAGGTCCGCAAAGCATTGAAAATGCTCAACCTGCCAAACCATCATCTAGGAATGGAGACGGTAGGTTAAATAAGCCAGGAAGAGCCCATGGATCATGGCGCCAGCGTGGGCCAAAGGAATCAACTTTGCATGTATTGGCTGATGGACAATCTTATACTGCGGACATAGGTAAAGATGGTCAAAAGTTGAGTGGGCATCACCAAGCTGAGGAACATGAACTAAGATCAATGGACGAGAAGCCAAAACGTTCTGATGAGCAGGGTTCTGGTGATGGTTCAAACCTTCCATGTAATTCCAACTCTACTGCTGAGGTCCCAATTCATCCTGCCAGAGATCAAGGAGTTGCAGGAAGAGGAAAGCGTCATGCTTTCCGGGCACAGAAAGCCCCAGGGGTTACTGTAGATCATGATCAGAAGAAAAGCATCGAGGAAATGGATGAAAGTCGGAACCAATCTTTGGCTCCTGAGGTGATCCAAAGAAGTCCAGTTGTTCCCAAGGAAAACCATGTTGTCTCCGAACGTTCAACTTCTCATTGGCAACCCAAATCCCATTCATCTTCTGCTCATATTTCTCGAGGAAGTAGGGTGACTGGAGGTCAAAATATTCAGGCTGACAGTGGTGGAATTGATGCAGAGCTCCCTCACGGTGGTCTACCCGCTTCAGCACAGCATGAAATGGAACATCAAGAAGCTTTGTCGACCAATGACAATCGAAAATATAATTCCCGAAAAGATAATGTGAATGAAGCAGGGCATGTAGAGGGTAAGATAGAAACGAAGGCTCTAGCATTTGGAGTCCGTGGCCACTCTTCAATACAGGGTCCAGTCAGGTCAACTGGTGATGTGCGTCATGAGTCCCAATTTCCTTCGGGGTTCCACAAGAACCAGGGCGGTCGAAATGCAAGAGGCAGTGGACCTCATGGAGATTGGAACTCAAGTGGGCCGGAAAATAACCGACATCGTGAAAGACAGCGGCCCAACTCACACTTCAGATATCAGCCTGTGGGGACATACAGCGATAACAGATCAAACCAGGTCGAAGGATCAAAAGATGGTTCTCAAAGTGCTGGCATGAAGTTTAAGGAGAAGGGTGGTCAAGGCAGTTCCAGGCGTGGTGGAGAGAACTATACAGACCGGCAAGTTGGCACTGGTCGAGCTGATGCTGACTGTAATTAGTAGAGAGAGTAGAGTCCTAGATGTGTTCTGTTGTAGATGGCTCCTCTGGTCTTGATTGGTAATACCCCCGTGCCTTCAGGTATTGACGTTTGCTGATTACTGCGGACAAGGTGGGCTGATGTGCCAGCTCAAGTGACGGGTTGTCATGTCAATGGTTGTCCAGGTTGAGAGCATAGCCAGATGCGTCTTGGAAGTCTTCAGTTGATATGGGTTGGTTTTGACATTTGTGGTGGGCTTCTTACCTTACCTTATTTTTACAAATGTATTGCTCTGAACAATTTAATTTGGTCATGGGCTTATCTTCAATGGATCTTTTCACATGTTTCCTTGACGTTTTTTACTTGAATAGTCGATAGCTTCGCTGCTCTTTAAGGATAGGGATAGAGACTGCAGCCATGAGACACCTTCTGCGCCGTCATCTATGTGGGATTTGTGGTGGATTCTGGTTTTATAGCTTTGTTTGTTGATGACTTTGGAGCTGACAAACATCTGTGTCGTTGGATGCTAGTCGTGCCGAATATGTTGGGCTCGATTATTCATTTATCCGGATTATTTGCAGTGTCTGAGCATGTCTGAGATATTGTACCGTGATCTTTTCTAATGTAGTTTTGGGGAGTCTTCGATTCTCGGATGCGCCCTGGTAAATTGCATGGATGTCGCTTCTTTCGATTTTTTAACGTACCGAGTCGTCATACAGATCACTTTTTGATTACTGCCACTGAAACTTTAGCATTGCATGAGCAATGCAGCTGATATTATGTAGTGACATGGCAATTCTATGTTTCATGTGATCTGCATAAGATGAACGAGATTGTTACGGCGTCTCTGGTTGCACTAAACTTGGTGTCCATGTTAGGAAAGGTAGGGTTGCCGGTTCGAATCGGCTAACACGCGTGATCTTAACACTTGCGACTTATCCCGACGTGATCTAAACAAGACTGGTCTCATTGAACGTGACTTGAATAGATAGCGAACTTCGAAACAAGGTCACTAGAAAGGAAGCTAAAGAAATTTTGACGGACGCAAACGAGACCTGACCTCGGACGATAGCAACGGCGCTTGTCAACAAAAAAGTTCCCTTCTAGGACTGTACAAAAGTCAAAATCGATGCTGCAACCAACATAAACGAAAATCGAAATCAAAGAGTGGATAACCAAAATGAAAATAAAATAAAAAAGAGGCGAGAAATGAGAATTGGTGTGCACTCGTATTGGGCTGAAATGAGCCCATAAATACCCCAAATAGAAGGAATCTCAAACCTAGGCCCATATCCTATTTTGCTTCATGTGGTTCCTTAAAAGTACGGACGAGTGATTCCAGGTCGGTCTAGGTTTTACTTAGAATTTAAAACTTATTCTGTTAGTTTATGGAACCTGAAATCTATCCTGCGTACTTTGAAACCTATCCTCGGTTACTGGGTCAACCTAAGAATTGGCCGATTTATTTTATTTTATTTTTTTTTCGTTTCATTTTTAATTAAGCAAAATGAAATTGAATGCAACAACAAATACCTCCATTTGTCAATAACAATAATCCATAAAAGATGAACACGTAAAATAAAATAAATAATAAAAAGTTCAAAACACGTAACTAAAGTTCATCGATTCCTCGTTCTTGGTTCAGCTCTTATCTAGGAATAGGGAGCCAAACCGCATAATATTGATTCCAATTTTTTTGGAATCGGGAACTGAATTGATAACTGCAAGAACCTGGAACCGAACCGGTTCCTATGGCCAGTTCGGTCCGGTTTCCGATTCCACCCTGGATGCATGCTCATCCCTACTCGGAAACCCCTAATTTTAATTTCTACATATTAATCTTTTATTAATATATCATAATTTTCAACCGCCTATATTTATCCTTACCTTCCAGTTTATTAAGCTCTCTGTATTGTTATCCTCAAAATCCTCCCCTCTTCCCCTAGTTTTGAAGGAGCAATCAATCAACGAACGAGTATATCAAAAAGCAATCCGAAAAATTCCACCTTTCGACGACCGTCTCCCCGTCTTCCATCTTCCCATTTGTCCATTCTTTGTGTACTGTAGACCCGAAGCGAGAAGAAGGGTTTTCATGTTCTTATCCTCTTCAATTTTCCCCATTTCCTAGCCGACCTTGGATGATAAGGAGGCCAACGAAGTTCGTCTCTTTCAGGCAAGTGCTGAATCTACGCTCTTTATCCTGTTATCTCCCTTTTGTCTCGTGGAATTCGTGGGTTTAGCGACGTTGAATTGTCGGGGGGGCAATTGCTTTCTGGGGGTGTGGATGTTCTTGGTTTTGCCTGTTGTACGGCCGTTTTCTTTGATGGGTGGTCTTCTTTTGTTGCTGGGATTGGGAAATTTCGGTCTGGGGAACTGTACATTTGGGAAAGATAACTTGGGTCAGCTCAATTTTGTTCGCCCAGCCGCCGCTTTGGTCTCGCTCGGATAGTAACAGCCGAAAGATATCTTTTTTTCTAATCAATCTGCTGGAATAAAAAGTGGGGCTTTGTGCTTTTTTCTTGCTTTAGTTTCTCTTGATTGTAACCTGAAGTTTTTTAGCTAAACTGTGTTCTTGTTTGGCTGTGTCTTCAGATAAGGCTTGCTTGAGTAAATGGTTGGGCTCTTAAATTGGAGAAGATGGCATTGGTAACCCATCAATTTCAGGTTCTGTCAAGAACTTGGCAGTTGTTTCGCTTATCTGTGCTTTGATTAATTTGTTCTAGAGAGATGATGCTCCTAGTTAGTGGCATTTGTGTGGTCTTGGAATGAACTTTTTCTGTTGTCTATTAGCTTTAGGATATTGTTGGGTCTGCGTACATGTCAAAGTACCAGTTTACCTCACTAGATCAGTGATGAGCCATTCATGAGGTGCATTCACTTCTGTTGTTTATCCTCTCATGGACGTGTTAGAAGTTGCGTAATTTCTCTAAACTGAACAGGACTTGTACTTCGTGCTATCTAAATTAATTTTCAGATGACATTTGAATGATAAAAGACTTATGCTGCATAGGATTGTTTACATAGGTGGTGATAAAAGATATATCTTGCACCAAGATATTTTTGGTTTCATACATATAGCCAAATGTTGAAATAGGATTTTACAATTAAGTGTAACTGCATTTTGTGTTTGACTTTTCTGTATAGCAATGTTTAATATTTAAACAGATAAATTGATGAAATGCTATAGCTGAAGATACATGAACTGAATCACATCACGTCCTGTGCTTATGGTTCATTACTCTTTTCATTTACCATAAGAATATATTTATGCAAGATATCAGACATGCCCTGTTAGTCTTCAGTTCATGTGAGTCCTTATGCCACTAGGTTCACATGATCTTTGACATCTCTTCTATGAGTTAAAATAGATCTGGAGCTGCACTTCAAATAAGTCTATTGATATTTCTCCTATATTGTGATGAATCAACAGTGATGCTCTTGTTATGGAATGCAGGGTTCTTATGTGGCATTTCCCCCGAGACCTTTATCCTTGAGCAAAGTGCTGACACTAAAGAGGTGTTGTGCAGTTGGGAAAACAGATAGACCTTTGTCCCTAAAGCATCATATTCTTTTAAGGTCTGGATTCTACTGAATTTGTTGCCACCATACATGTTTGTTGTATAGAGTATCTATTTTATCATGGGGGAACAGGTTTGAAATTATATATCTCTCCCTGCGTGATTAGAAAATCATATGACTGATGAAAATCTGAAAGATCGAGTTTTTATATTGTTAAGGTTTTGTTTTTTTGTGTTAAGTTTAGTTTTGTCATTATAAATGGACATGTAGTGGATGATTATGTCGAACTTAAATTGTTAAGTACGCAGGCACTAGGTAGTAGGTACTAGAGTTGGGCTCTGAGCGTGCGTGCACACGGGGCATAGCTATTTGTCTCCCTTTTCAGAGAAAAGGCCTTGATAATAAATGCCATTGGGGGCAAAGTCACTTTTATATCGACGAGAATTTTAGTTGGCGGTTAGTATGAACTATGAAGGGAACTTCGGAAGTCATATAAGTTTGACTCAAAGGGAAAAATGATGATCCATCTTGATGTCAATGAATGCAGGGAGGATGGAGGGATGAAGACGAAGCGAGTAGGATTGGGCTTAGATACTCCCACTACAATGAATGCAGCTGTAAATACTTTAGGATCTTTAAGAGAGAGAGAGAGAGAGAGAGAGAGAGAGAGAGAGAGAGAGAGAGAGAGAGCTGAAAAGTAACATCTTCGTTCAATAACTTAATGAATGGGTACATAAGATGGCTCCACTTATAGAGCATGAGAGACACTAACAAAATCCTAACTTCCTTGTTTATGACCATTTATTAACTATTGACTAATATCCAGAATTATACTTCAATACTACCCCTCAAGCTCCAGCTTGCATAACAGGTGCAACTTTCTTTCGAAGTCTGTGACTAAAGCGCCATAAGCCAGACCTTATGCTAGACAAGAAATGTGGAATTTAATGACAATTGTGTAAGCTGGACCTTATAAGAAAAATCGAGTGTAATCCGCACCGTGACTGGACTTGACAAGTGCAGAAGAAACACATGATTATAAAAGTTGACACGTCTTTCTCACTCAACCTTGATAAAACCTTGAGGAAATCCAACTTGAATTGTGGCAAACTAAACTGCATCACCTCATGGCACTCAACTTTGGCTGCTCAATGAAGACATAATCAACAAAAAAAGGCTTACTAGGGTGCCAATAGCTGTTTTGACGGAGAAGCAGAACAAATTATCACGATCGAGAAAGATGCATGGCAGAATGAAGCTAGAGAATATAGAGGCTCGACTTGTGGTAGACTTCACTAGCACAAGGATGCTGGTGAAAAGACTAACGAGTAACGAAGCCGCAGCGAACAACTCCCCCGACGACAACAGAGATGCCAGCAGTTCACAAGATAGAGTTGCTCTCAGAGAAAACCGGAGTGGATCTGAGACCAGAATAAGCAGAGGACGATGTTGCTTCTTGAAGATGACGGGTTGTGGCTACTCTCGAGGTTGAAGACTGGTGGACAAAAAACATAGGATTTAGAACAACAAACGTGGCGGGCTCAGTGTAAGAGTAGAAACGATGATGGCGAAAACGAGGATTCTTTTGATTTATAAGACTCATGGCAGAAAGAAAGATATGAGTTAGGGTTTTGATTTAGGTTTCTCTCTGTCTTGGTGACTATTTATACCATGTAAATATTCTAGGATCTTTAAGAGAGGAAGAGAGAAAATACTTAAAAGCTATATCACGTAATAACTTAATGAAAAAGTATATAGGATGGTTCTATATAAAGAGCATGAGAGACACTAACAATACCCTAACTTCATTATATATGATCATC